AGAGTTCAATTCCCAGCACCCACATGGCAGTTTACAACTGTCTGTAACTCCAGTACCAGGATATCTGACACCTTCACACAGACATATATGCAGGCAAAACCCCAGTGTACATTAAAAACAAATAAACAAATCTAAAAAGAAGAAAAGAAATTTTAAAAAAGAAAAGAAAATGTATATCAAAACAAACAAACCGAAACCCAGATGTTGATGCCTGCTTCTGTAATCTCCTACTCCTATGGTGAGATGGCAGATGGAGACAGGAAATTCACTAATCTGGCTACACAGCTGTGAACAACAAAAGCCGTGCCACAAATGCGGTAGCAGGTGAGCACAGAGCCCAAGGTTGTCCTCTGACTCCAACAGGAACTGTGACATGCTGAAAGAAATGAAACCGGTCAGAGTAACCTAACTGCTTTCTACCTGAACCACACTGTGTAGGCTAGGCTATTTTGAGAAACACTTCATACATGACAAGGACCATTGCAGGAACCAATAACAATTGGGAGAGCAAGTCAGGCGGTGGTGGCGCACGCCTTTAATCCCAGCACTCGGGAGGCAGAGGCAGGAGGATCTCTGTGAGTTCGAGGCCAGCCTGGTCTACAAGAGCTAGTTCCAGGACAGGCACCAAAGCTACAGAAAAACCCTGTCTTGAAAAAACCTAAAAAAAAAAAAAATGGGTCGGGCAGTGGTGGCGCACGCCTTTAATCCCAGCACTCGGGAGGCAGAGGCAGGCAGATCTCTGGGAGTTCGAGGCCAGCCTGGTCTACAAGAGCTAGTTCCAGAACCGGCACCGAAAGCTACAGAGAAACCCTGTCTCGAAAAACCAAAAAAAAAAAAAAAAAAAAAAAAAAAAAAAAGGGAGCACTGCTTCAAGGATAGTCAAGAACTGACCAATCAAAAATATGTCCATAGTCATTGAGCCTATAATTCGGGTTCTTAGAGAAGCTAAATAAGAAGGAGAACCCAAAGAAAATCATATAGGCATCCTCCTGAATATTAACCTTCATCAGGTGATGAAAGGAGACAGAGACAGAGACCCACATTGGAGCACCAGACTGAAATCTTAAGGTCCAAATCAGGAGCAGAAGGAGAGAGAGCACAAGCAAGGAACTCAGGACCGCGAGGGGTGCACCCATACACTGAGACAATGGGGATGCTCTATCGGAAACTCACCAAGGCCAGCTGGCCTGGGTCTGAAAAAGCCTGGGTTAAAACCGGTCTCGCTGAACATAGCAGACAATGAGGACTACTGAGACCTCAAGAACAATGGCAATGGGTTTTTGATCCTACTGCACGTATTGGCTTTGTGGGAGCCTAGGCAGTTTGGATGCTCACCTTACTAGACCTGGATGGAGGTGGGTGGTCCTTGGACTTCCCACAGGGCAGGGAACCCTGATTGCTCTTTGGGCTGACGAGGGAGGGGGACTTGACTGGGGGAGGGGGAGGGAAAGGGGAGGCGGTGGTGGGGAAGAGACAGAAATCTTTAATAAATAAATTAATTAATTAAAAAAAATATGTCCATAGTATGCTTCATCTATCTACACACCCCAAGGACAGATAAGACCAGGCCAACTGAGAACATACCTAGGTCATTTGCATAATGATATCATGCTTATTAAACTTCAAGCCCTTTTGTAATCGTTTGCTGTCCTCAATTAGGTCCGGGTATGCAAATTAGGTGAGAACTGGTGGTCCTGTGAGATTGACTATAAAAACTCCTATAATCTCTGGAAGGCAGCTCCTCCCTTACTCACTGTGTTGAGTGTGCTGGATGAGTTCCTTGCCTAGGCTTGTATAATAAACCTTGCTTTTGCATCCAAGTCCTGGATTCCTGGTGGTCTCTTTGGAGAGCTAGCGGTCTGGGCATAACAATGTGAGTGTTCATATTCACATACATGAATGCATATGTGTGTATTTGCACACACAGACTTCAGAAATTCAGTGAAAGGCCCACTTTCAGATGAGCAAGAAAAAATTAAATAGGTTCATGCACTTACCAGGCCTGGCAATGCAGGCCTATAATCCCAGCTATTTGAGAGTCTGAGGCAGGAGATCAAAAATTCAAGACCTGCTTGAGTACCTTAGCAAGACACTGTCTCAAATGTGAATGGCATTGGGCTTCTCTCACCCACCTGCTTATGGGGCTAGCTGCAGCAACAGCTGTTCAGGACCAAGAGATCATCTTCAGACATGATGCGAAGGGGAAAAAGAGATGGGTGATCTGCCTGCCTGTTGGTTCAGTCAGCCATCGGCTCATTCTTTTGTCCATCCATTCACTCATTCCGCAATGACTAATACTACCCCTTCAGGACTGCATTCTCTGCAGGCCATCAGGAAGACAGACCGGAGCCTGGGGCTTGGGAAACAACTGGTAAAGCACTTGCTATGCAAGCATGAGGACCTGACCTGAGCTTAGAACTCGTGAAAAGCCAGGGATGCATGCACTTGTAATCTCAGTACTGGGAAGGCAGAGGCGGGCAGAGCCCCGAAGCTCAGTGACCACCTAACTAGTCTAGCCTACTTGGTGAATTTCCCAGGCCAACGAGAGAGAGAGATGGTAGATGGTTCCTACGGACACCAGTCGAGGTTTACCTCCGGCTTTCACACACGAGCATGCACAAACACCTCTGCACTCTTGCCTCTCCACCCCCACACGGAAACAGTCCCTGCCCTCTGCAACATACTCTTAGAGGTTCCTACTATTTCGACACATGTTTATTAAGTCCTGTTGAAGAAATAGGAAAGAAACAAGTTCTCATCCTTATGTGGTTTACAAGACAGCGGTGGGTAATGCAGATAATTAGCACACAATTGCACAGGGCATTAATTAATCACACTGTGATTACTACAGAGAAGTACAGAGGACCAAGAGAGTCAATTACAAAGGACAGTGTTGGAGAGTCAATTACCAGGAACAGGGCTGGTGAATCAATGGGAAAACTAGAGAGCAGATGTCACAGGGCTCAGGTCCAGGAGAGGTAAGACCCACTTGGAAGCTGTACCTCCCTGGAAGCTGGGCAGGGTGATGTAGGAGCAAAGGAAAGAATAAGCCATCTCTCTGGGAAGGGAGAAATGGCTAGGTGGAAATAGATTGGAGGTCCTGAAGCCATCCTTACCAGCTTGCTTCTTGCTGATCAAGAATATTTGAGGCCAGGATCCAGTGCCTCGCCTCAAGATCAGAAGCTCCAGTGTAGCTGAGTGGCACTTTGGTTCGGACCTGCCTCTTTAACTATAGCATCCTCTACTGTCAATATCCAACATCCTCTACTGGAGGTGTGAGGGGGCAGGAGGCTCTACCAATCACACGCCTCAGCCTCATTACCATTGAACAGAAGAGAAGCCGGAGGTCAGAATCACTACCTGCTTCCATCATGCAGACAGTGGGAGTGGGCACCAGAAGTAGGTCTCCAAAGAAGAGAGTGCTATAGCCATGTGTGTGTGTGTGTGTGTGTGTGTGTGTGTGTGTGTGTGTGTGTTCCAAGTTCTCTGCAGAGATGGCATACTGAAGGAACTCTGCAGAGGTCTGTTAAAAAGCGACAGGCTCCCCCTGCTGGTCCCGTACTACTTTGGTAGGAGGTACGTGGAACACATCAGGTGTCCATCCTGACCAGTTGACCAAGTGAGAGGACTCAAGGAAGACTTCTGAGTCCCGACTCTAACCACTCCAATAGTTGCCCACACACATACCTTTAGCCAAAGGAGACTGCAAAGTGGGCCGGGGTGGAGTAGCAGGAGTAGACGGGCAGTAAGTTTCAGACACTTGGCAGGAAGGTCAAATATGCAAGAACATTTTAGTCTCCCTTGTCCTCAACAACATGCAAACACTGCTTCAGTCAAGGAAATCCAGGCTGGTACCCACACGTTTAGTAAGAATCAGTTGGGCTGGGCGGTGGTGGCGCACACCTTTAATTGCAGTACTTGGGAGGCAGAGGCAGGTGGAAGTCTGAGTTCAAGGTCAGCCTGGTCTACAAGAGTTAGGTGACAGACTCCAAAGCTACAGAGAAACTCTGTATCGAAAAAAAATATATATATTGGTTTTTATAATATATATTTATTTATATATACATAATATATAATATTAAATATATTATATTATATTTATAATATATATATCAGTTGAGATGAGGCCAAGGCTGAGTTTACAGGGAAAGATCACTGCTGCGAACTGTAAACCACACAGCCGCCCTGAGGTAGTCTGGCCTACCTTTCCTGTGTTCTGGATCTACTGATCTAGAGAACGTTCTTTGGAAATTAAAAGAATTTTTAAAGTTATTAATTTTTTATTTTATGGGTATGGATGTTTCCCGGCCATGTGTATTTGTGCACCGCGTGCTTGGTGTCTGAGGAGACCAAGAGAAGGGCGTTGGATCACAGGTGTGAGCTGCCATGTGGGTGCTGGGAATTGCACCCGAGTAGTCAGCGCTCTTAACTGCTGAGCCATTTCTCCAGTCCCGTGGACTCTTGTTTTAGGGTCAGGTAGTTGGTTTTTTTTTTTTTTTTTCCTGTTTGCAGCAGAGAAAACCTGCCCAGAAAGCTGGGCATGGAGGCCCATTCCTGTAATCCTAACCCTAGAGAATCTCTGTGAGTTCAAGGTCAGCCTCCGCTCTGTAGGGGAATTCTGTTTTTGAAAACTTGTCTCAAAACAAAACCCCAAATGAATAAAAATAGAAGAATTAAAAAGTGTGAGGAAGGTGGCCGCAGGTGTGAGCCTTCCGCAGGTTTAGGGTCCGGGAGCGCACGGCCGAGTCCGGCTCTGGCCAGCAGGGGGCACCGAGGAGAAGGCGGGCGGAAGGCCACGGACGGGACTCCGGGAGGGCTCCAGAGCTGGGCTGCAGCTCAGCCGCCCTCCCGTCCACTCTTTGTCCGCAGCTCCGCCCGGTATCCAGAGTTCCGCCGCGAAGAGACTCGGACTAGCGACAACCGCCGGACTCCGTGCCTGCCCGGAAGCGCGGGCGCCGAGGGGGCGGGGCCTGGAAGCGCTTCCGGGGGCGGGGGGCGCGGGCAGGGGTGGCAGCGGGAGCGGCGGGGAAGGGCCTGGCGCCGGCGGCGGCGGCGGTGGAGGGGGCGCCGCAGGCGGGCGATGTGAACGCGGCGCGCGGCCCAGGTGAGGCTGGCGGGTCGCGGGCGGAGGCGGCAGGGTCGGGACGGCCGGTGGAGCGGTTGTCCGGCTCCTCGTGGGTGAGGCGGGGCGGGCGAGACGCTGTCTGGTCAGTGCGGGGGACGGCCGGGCGCGGTCCAGAGGCCCGGGCACCTGCCGGAGGCCAGGCGCTTGGCTCCGAGGGGTGAGTCGGGGCGGCTGCCCTGCAGCTCACCAGCCTTCTCTCCTGGGCGCCTCGCTCTCCTTCCTGTACCGAGGGGTCCGAGTGACCGTGGCCCCCGGAGAGCCAGGCCCGGCCTGGGGGCGTCAGCGGGAGGCTGTCCTGGAGCTGCTGCCTCGGGCCACCGCCTTGCGCCAGGTAAACAGGCGACGCGTGCCAAGCTTGGCCGGGGTGGTCTCCGTGGTCACTCCGGCGGAGCTGAGGACGGACTGGGGAGGGGGCGTGTAAAACACTGCTTGTCTAGGCGAAGTGACTGCTTTGGGGCTACTCAGATCTGGGACGCACCACCTTTAGGTTTTCAGCACGTCTCTTCCATGCCGGACGTTCCTCCACGGAGAATTGAGAGTTTAGGTGAACTCCCTACAGACCCGTCATGCTGTGAATATCTGACATTGCAAGGTCTGTGCCTGGTTCAGCATGCGGGGCAGTTTTACTGAAGACATTTTTTTTTTTTTTTTAACGTTCCAGATGTAGACTTTTTAACCCCTTCGTGCACTTTGTCTCAGGGAGGTTTAAAATGATTCGCAGAAGTGTTTTCTTGGAAATAGCTTTACTGAGCCTTCGTCGTTCCTTGCTGTCGTCCATAGTTTTCCTGTGGAGCGTTTTGCATGCAAGCATTTTGCTGTTTGTGTTTGCCCATTTTCTCTTTGTTCCTTAGTCTAGGCTGCTTTTGCTTCACATCTGGATTATTGCAACAGCTTCTTAGCTGGTCTCTGACTCCAGAGGTTTCACCCTCCCCCATCCTTCCTTTATGCTAACGCCAAACTTAGTATAGGAAGTAGAAAAATAGTTGAGTGCTTGCTTGTTTAGTAAATGTCAGAATGCTGTTGAGTAGTGGACGAAAGGAGTCGAAACACTAATCTCCAACCAAGGCTTTTACACTGGGTGTTCAGACATTGCCCATGAGACAAGGTTGTGTGCTATAGAGAGGTAGAGGTAGTGGTGGTGGTGGGGCTTAGTGAAAGGGTGGCAAAGGACAAGTAGAATTCAGATTGGGGGGGAAAAAGGATCCTATGGAGTTAGTGACTAGACCAGCCTCCTAGCCGAAGGCCAAGATGGGAGAGGAGTAAGAGGAACTATTGATTAGGCTTGGTTCCTGAAAGATCTTGAACACTAGGCCAAAGTTAAAACTGTTCTAGAGGCAGGCGTATTCTAGCAACGAGAGTGTGGGGGGGGCGGTGCCCTGCAGAAGGTGGAAGGAAGAGGCTAGAGGGCAGGAGGTGAGCTTAGGGGGCCACGGCAGTTAGACCATTGTTCAGAGCAGAATAGTGTCCTGCCTGCTTTGTGGTGTCAGCCTTTACTGTTCCTCCATCTCCGCTCAAGGGTCTTTTAGGTTTGGCTTCATTCCTCTCACCTAAACCTGACTTTTTCCTGGCCTTTGCTTCTCCAAGTTGTCCATGTTCTGACTGCTTCTAAAGCTGTTGTTCCAGTCCCCTGAGCACGTTCTCCATTTCACTTCCTTCAAGCCCCTGCTGAAGATAGACTTCCTCCAATGGGTGTTCCCTCACTGCCCTACCCCCATGCCTTTGTGGCACCGGGACTCTGCAGCAAGTTTCCTTGGTTGTTGGTTGTCCTGGCCCCGCTGGAGCAGTTGTTTGAAGACATTGCTTGTTACCACTTCTTTCAGACTCTTCTGCCTCCTGATGCTGGAGCTGGAATCTTGATAAAAGGGTCTCAAATAGTTCCTGATTTTTGTTGGTAAACAATTTTTTTTTCCCAAGGAGAAGCCATTTGGTTATTAGCCTTCTCTGTCCTCTGTAACTACTGGTATTTAATGCTGCAGTTCCAGGTGGATGCTTTCAGTTTTATTCTCAGACGCAGAAAGCGCAGAAAAAATTCTGTGAAACATTAGTGTTCCTTCCGATCCCGAGGAAAGAAAAAAAGTCTCTGTAATTCTTGAGTCTAAGGTTGTGGGGAAAGAAAGTTGGGTCTGGGATCAGGCCTGGATTTGGCTCTTAGCGCAGTCACTCAATAACTGTGAAGCTGAGTGATTTGTCCTGTTCTCTGAGCCCATTATTTCTTCCGCTCTTTTTTTTTTTTTCTTTCTTTTTTGGTGCTGAAGAGTTAGCCCAGGGCCTCACGCATACTAGGCAAAAGCACTACCACTGTACCACTGAGTTCCACCTCCAGTTCGAGCCTGCTTTTTCTTACTTGTAATGTGTCAAAAAGTCTGTGTTGTGGGGTTGATACAGGTGTATATGTTCATTCATGTGCATCTGTATGTGTGTGCACCAGTGCCCAGGTCGAGTGCCGAGTGTTCCTTTCCACTGCTCTCCCCCTTCTCCATCTTATTTTTTTGAGACAGAGTCTCCCACCATGTCTAGAACTGGCTGTTCAGTCAGACTGGTTGGCCAGCAAGCCCTAGAGAGTCTCCTGGCCCCACCTCTCCAGTGTGTGTGACCTTTTTACATGGGTGCTGAGAATCCAGACTCAGGTCCTCATGCGTAAGCACTTTAGAAACTGAGGTCCTCTCCACAGCCTCTGTGGATTTTTAATGATGATGGCACACAAAGGCAGTAGCAAAATTTAGGAACTGCCGAAGACATTTTATTATGATTAGGTGTGGTGTATTGGAGTGGAGGAAGGATGGGCTGCCAAGCTTTGTCTAGCCGATATACATGTCTCTGTTCTGCCTTCCGGATGAAGCAAGAATGTCAGATATTGTGAACCTAGAGTCCTGTCATTTATATTTCCACTGATTTTCATATATCTTTAGTTGAAATTCTGTTTCATGCTTTCAAACTTAATTGTGTCCATTTAATGTTTTGTAGCTGACAAACTGCTGAATTTAGTTTAGTGAAGGTCACCAACTGAGCTCAGTTAAGCTTCTAATGGTTATTTTCTGTTGATGTTGCTGGCATGGAAAGCACCCTGGAAGAATGCAATTCAAGGTGAGCCTTTCTAATCCATTTGTTATAAGAGGTGGAACGTGTGTATTCTCTAGCTCTCCTGGAAAGCCAGTCATGGATAAATAAGCTGCTGTGCCTTAGTTTATATTGAGGTCTTGCCTTAAGAAAGCTCACTCCTTCTGTACGGAACAGATCTTTTCAGCTCATGATTCAGATGGGAGACATCAGCCAGGAACAGTGGTCTAAATCTTCAGTGCATTATTGGTGAGGCTGAGACAGGAGGATCACCAGGAGTTTGAATCTAACCTGGGTAACATAGCAAGACTCTAACTTTAGAAAAAAAAATGCAGAGATTTTAAAAACACTCTAGGGCCTGCTTTTCTGGCAGAATAAAAACAATGAACAGATTTTGAAAACAATTTTTAAAATTTTTAAAAATTTAACTTTATTTTATGTGCATTGCTGTAAAGGTGTCAGATCTCCTGAAACTGGAGTTACAGACAGTTGTGAGCTGCCATGTGGGTGCTGGGAATTGAACTCAGGGTCTCTGGAAGAGCAGCCAGTGCTCGTAACTGCTGAGCCATCTCTTCAGCCCTGTTGAAAACCATTTGAAGTGTCTGAGCAGTTCGACATTATGGCCCCTTACCACTGTGTCAGACTGCCTGACTTTGTATGGGACATCTTGAGTGGAATTTGTCTCCACTTGAAGTTGGTCAGGAGGATTATCACCAAGAAAAGCTACACATCTCAGCCAGATGCCTAGTTAAAATCTGCTTTCTTCTGAGAGCTATAGTTTTGCTCTGGAGACTGACATGTGGTTTCAGTTCCTGGCTGGATCAGTCATTAGCCGAGTACCCCAGGAAAGTTCCTTGTCTCTTGGAGTATGTCTCCTCATCTGTACAGTGGGGATGGTTGCAACATCTGTGTCTGTTGCCAGGAAGAGCTTTCTCTGCACAGTGTGCACAGCAGTAGCTGAGAGAAGCCAGTCTTCCTTGTTGCTGGTGTGGTTAAAGCGGCCATTCCTCTCCTGCTTGGAAAGCTCAGAAGCAGCTCCAATGTTTTGCATTGACTAAGACAAATCACACCCTCCCCAAATTAGTGTATCTGGGCAGACCTGGAGAGTGTTAGCGCCTCGCTCAGAAATGTAACAGTTCGGATAAAAATGTTCTCTCACATGAATTAATGCAGTAAGAACTCTAAACTTGTTTTCCTTTAAATTAGGAAGCGCCCTTCATGAATATCCATCACAGAATGCCATTTCCTCCCTGTTTTTTCCCCTTGCATTGAGTTCCATCAGCATCACAATGCTTCCTGCAGCCCTGCTGCTCATCAGCTGCTGCAAACCTGGGTTTGGCATCACAAGCATCCTGACCAAGAATGGTCCTTTCTAGTACCTTAAGCCCAGCCAAATTTGTCACCTTCCTTTCTTTTCTTGAAAGTGTAACTGGGCATTTTTAAAGGGAGTGTAGCATGTGATGAAGCTGCAGTGTTTCCAGGTGAGATGGGATTTTGCCTCCTGCCTATCTGTCCTGCACCTCCAGGGTCTTTAGCAGGACATTTTGAGGGCTGAGGGTACAGCTGTGCCGGCAGTCTAGAGGTCTTGAGTTTAGGTTGCATGAGCTGACCCACACTGAGAGCCTCTTGTGAGGTCCCTGCCTAAGAGCTTATCAGTGTATGAGACAATTCCCATTGCCTGGTTTGTGCTTTTGTTCTGGTTGTCATGGGGAACTCTTTCTGTCATGGAGCTTTACCCCATGTTTACGGTGGAGGGGACTTTAGGACCACTGCTGTTTTTTGTCCAGGTGACATTGAGGCGTCCTTTGTGGCTCTCTGTGGCACAGGTTGTAATGTACAGGATGCTACAGTATTAGGTAGACATGGTGCTGGGTTGTACTTTTAGCCAACTCAGTGGGAGTGGCATTTAGGAGAGGATCAGG